GGGGAGGGAGGGGGATGGGGCAGCAGGGGAGTGGGAGGTTCCCAGCATGGGATGACCTCCCCTTTCTTCCTTCCCCTCCCCTGTTCCTGTGCTGGTTCCAGATGGCTAAGCTCTCACCCTCCCCACCAAGGATGGCTCATTGTATTGCAGAAACTTAGAGTGACAGGGGTAGGATGTAGAGGAACTGAATACCTTCTCCCGGACACTCCGTGCTCCAAACCCATCCTTGCTCTACTTCCCCAAATGTGCCCGAGGAAAAGGTGCCTCCGCCGCCCCCACCGACAGACCTCTCACTGACCACTCAGCACATTTCAGGGGCAGCTTGGAGAATTCTCAGGTTCCTCCCTGGGTCCTACCACCTGCTCTGGGTGCAGCTTTGAAGACACTGGGATTGGTTTCTTTCTCTGTCCCAAATGTTTAGGGAGGAGAGATTTGCAGGGACACGCAGGGCCTCAGCAAGCTGGAGATTTGTTTCGAGTTTTCCCTTAGTGTGTGCGTGGTTGTGGGAGGGAAAGGGGGACGGCGGAGGTCCAGAAGGAAAAAATGCCCACCACCAGGGCATTACCCACCCGGGTAATGAGCATAGGGGGTGGGAGCAGCCTGGCTCAGCCTTCTCTCCAGGGTCCCAAGCCTCACCTTTCCAAGATATCCACAATGGTACAGGCAAAGAGGAGGAGGCCTTCCGGCATTTGCAAGGCCACTGCGAGACAGAGCAAAGAGACAGAGCAAAGACGTGAGAGGTGGAGGGCTAGGAAGGGACTGCAAGGGGGACGCTGTCCCATCCGGGCCAGGCAGCCCCTCCACCCCCACCCCAGCTCAGTGATCACGGGCTCACCCTTCTTGGCCTGGGCTTGTTGGATCCTCCAGATGGTCTTGGGGATCTCAAAGTTGTAGTTGGAAGGCAGGACCTGGATTGCTGCCTGCAGCTGGGGGTTCTTCAGGATCTCAGGGGGGATCTGATTGGCCACGCGGCCCCGAGGGGCCCGAACTAGAATGGATGTAAGGCCTGAGCTGGTGTCTGTCTTTGGCCGCAGCCAGACTGAGGTGGAATAGGGACCCCTTTTCAGGGTCGTCGGTGCCCCCACTCAAGCATAGAAATAAAAAATTTTGAGTCATCTCAAGAAAAGTCCCAGGCATCTTAGCTAGCCCTATAACCAGCAATTAGGGAAGTCAGTAACTTGCTAAACAAGAAGATAATAAACAACAGTCACTCAAGTCAGAGTCATGAGATGTCTGGTTCCCCACAGGAACTAAAGATAACATCTTGACATATAGCCCTAAGTTGTTTTTCAGAAACCAGGACCCCCCACCAGATGAAAAATGCCAACTAATTGCTGTCATGTAAGACCTAAGACAGACTGAAGCCAGAAAGTAGGGAAGAAACTTCCAGAAATTCCCCAGCCCTTAATTCACTTTAAAGACCACCTGCAGCCCAGCCTTTAAAAA